TGAAGGAGAAAGACTAATTGTGATTAAAGTAAAATTTGAGACTAAAATTGTCATTAAAATAAAACCGTTTATAAAAAAAAATATTTTTATAAATACCTTTTTTTCAAAAAATACAATTATATGAAAATTAAAAATAAAAAAATATTGGAACAAAGAATTCAAGAAAGATAATTTTGTGAAAACAAGAAGAAGAAGAAGAAGAAGAGAAGAGAGAAATTTATGAGTTAGTTAAGTGTAAGTAACTATCTAACTGAATGTATTATTGCTGCATCTATTGCTCTCTATGATTACAAACATAATGACCCTTTATATAGGCAAAATATCCAGGCTCAAATACATACTAAAAGCCTAAACTACATAACAAGAAATAACCAACTAACACCCCCCTTAATTCGTGTTATTAAGACTTCTCATCCCAATACCTTTCTTTAACTCTTCGAACCTCACTTCTTCAGAGGTTTGGTGAATATGTCAGCTAGTTGCACTTCTGTCTTGCAATGTTTTATTTCAAGTTTCCCTTTGTTGAATTGATCCCTCAGAAAATGATACCTTCTTTCAATGTGCTTACTTCGACCATGACACACTGAGTGATTCGCAAGGTTTATAACTGACTTGTTATCAACAAACAGCTTCATCTTCGATTCTATTATTCTGAGTTCTTCGAGTAGCATTTCGATCCATGCTGCTTGGCATGCATCATATGATGCAGCCACATATTCTGCTTCGCGTGATGACAAAGCCACAATGCTTTGCTTCCTCGAACTCCAGGAGATTGGAGCTCCTTCGATAATGAAAATGTATCCTATAATACTCTTCTTTTCGTCTTGATCTCCACTGAAGTCTGAGTCAGTATATCCATGAACTTCGCCATCTGAGCTGTTCTTTGATTTATTTGGTAACAACACACCATGATCAATAGTTCCCTTTATGTATCTCAACACCCTCTTTACTGTGATGAGATGACATTCTTGAGGCTTCTCTATAAATCTGCTCAACAATCCTACACTTTAGCAGATATCTAGTATAGTATTGCGAAGATACCTCAAGGATCCAATGATTTATTTATAAAGGGTCGAACTTACAAATTCATCATTCGATTTTTTTCCAGCTTTGCTCCAGTCTCTAATGGAGTAACAACTGTCTTGTAGTTGCTCATATTGAACCTCTTCAGTATACCTTGAGCATACTTCGTTTGATGCAAGAAAACTCCTTCTTCGATGTCTTTGAATTCCATTCCCAAGAAATAAGAGAGATTCCCTAAATCAGACATTTCAAATTCCTGCATTAACTTCGACTTTACCTTAATTATCTCAGCTTCGTCTGCTCCTGTAATGAGTAAGTCATCAACATAGAGACATAAAATGATTGGATTAACACTTTCGACATCATTTACATATACTCCATGTTCAGACACACACTTTGTGAAACCTGCTTCGAATAGAAAGCTATCTATCCTTTTATTCCAAGCTCTAGGAGCTTGCTTGAAGCCATAAACAACCTTTCTTAATCTGTAAACTTTCGACTCCTGCCCTTTAACGTCGAAACCTGGTGGTTGGGTAACGTAGACTTCTTCTTCCAATGGACCATTAAAAAATGTTGACTTTACATCAAGTTGGTGCATTTTCCATCCTCTACATACAACTATTGAAACAACAATCCTGATTTTTTTGATCCTTGCAACAGGCGCATATACTTCATCGAAGTCAATACCAGGTTTTTGTAGAAAACCTCTGGCCACCAATCTTGCCTTATACTTTGCAATCTCACCATTTGGCCTTTGTTTCACCTTGTAGATCCATTTCACATCAATTGTTTTCTTGTTGGTTCTTTCGACAAGCTCCCAAGTTTTGTTCTTATCAATGGCTCTAAGTTCTTCCTTCATGGCTTTACACCAATTTGAATTGCTCAAAGTTTCTCCCAAATCAATTGGTTTTGCTTCAGCCATCATCATGGCTTCTTTGATTAAGTCACCATCTACATCGATTGCTTGATCTGGAAACCTCTCATATCCAATCAGCCTAGTCGACTCAGTTCTTATTCTTGTGGATCTTCTTTCATTCTGAACAGGTGGTTCTTCATTTCTACCAGTCGAAGTATCACCTTGTTCATTTTGACTTGTCGAAGCTTCATTTTGTTCATCTTTTTTGAACACAGTTGTGACTGTGTCTGATTCTTGTCGAACTTAACTTCGACTCCAATCCCACCCTTTGCTTTCATCTACAAAAACATCTCTACTGATCACTAGTTTATCTTCGATTGGTGAATACAACTTGTATGCACCAGTCGAATGATAACCTATGAGCACCATGACTTCACTTTGATCATTCAACTTCTTTCTCAATTGTTCAGTACATGCCTGAAACACAATGATCCAAAAACTCTAAGATGACTTACATTTGGCTTCGACCCTGTCCAAGCCTCATGTAGTGTCTTTTCGACCATCTTCTTCGTTGGGCATCTATTTAGAATGTATACTGCTGTCAAATCTGCTTCGGCCCAAAATCTCAAGCATATTCTTAGCTTTCAACATACATCTCGTCATGTTCAATACACTTCTATTCTTTCTCTCAGCTATGCCATTATGCTGAGGCATATAGGATACAATAACCTCATGGTCTATACATTCCTCATTGCAAAATCTAGAAAATTCAGCAGAAGTATATTCACCACCACCATCAGCTCTTAACTTCTTCAATTTGCAGCCACTTTGTTTCTCAGCATGCAACTTGAACTTCTTGAACTGTGTGAATACCTCACTCTTCTTCTCAATAAGGTAAATCCACATATGTCTGGTGAATTCATCAATGAAAGTAAGGAAATACATGTTACCTCCATTCGACTTTACTTCAAATGGTCCACAAACATCTGAATGAACCAACTCCAGTTTTTGCCTTGATCTTACAGGCAAGCCACGTTTGAACGCCTTCCTTTCTTGTTTAGCTTTGCATCATTCCTCACATATCTTCTTTGGTTCCTTCACATACGGCAACCCAAGAACCATTCTTTTCTGATTGAGCATACATAAACTTTTAAAGTTTAGATGTCCATACCTGTGATGCCATAACCAGTTATTGTCTTCTTCTGTAGTTGAAGCAAGACATTCGTGATCTGATGTATTGAGTTCAACCTTGAACATTTTGTTCTTCGTCAATGGTGCTTTCATTATTAGCCTCTCATCAGCTCTATATACCTTCATCTGATTATTCTCCAACTTCATTTTGAAGCCTTTTGCAAGTAATTGACCTACACTTATCAAGTTACTTGTCATTGAAGGTACATATAGAACTTCAGTGATAGTAGCCTTTCGACCATCCTTTCTGATAATCGAAATATCTCCTTTGCCACCTGATTTGATATACCTTCCATCTGCAAACTTTATCACTTTTTTTACTGACTCATCTAACTTGGTAAACCAGTTTTTATTGCCAGTCATGTGGTTGCTACAACCTGAATCCAGATACCACATGTTGTTTTTCTCAGTGGTCGACTGAGTGTTCACCAGCAACAACATATCATCAGAATCACTACTTCCAGCTCGTGCATATTGAGCTTCATCACTATCTTTCGACTTTGCAGCTTTCTTTCTTCGACAGTCTCTAGCATAGTGGCCAAAACCTTGACAGTTGTAACATTGCACCTATTTCGTGTCAACTTTCTTCCCAGAATACTTGTTGCCCACATCTTTCGAATAAGTATTCTTGCTTGACTTCTCATCACCAGCAAGATTCTTTCGCTGCTTCGACTTATCTTTTCCAGCTTTCTTGCTGAATCTTGATTGCAATGCTTGTTCAGCTGTCTTCTCTCTTTCTGAGTTTCTCTGCTGCAGCCTCATTTCGTGAGCCTCCAATGAAGCTTGAAGTTCTTCCAACTTTATCTCAGATAGATTCTTTGCCTCTTCAATTGTTACAACAAGTAATCAAAATCTGTAATTAGAGATCTCAATACCTTTTCTATCTTTTGCAGATCCGTAAGCGCTTCACCACACGCCTTCATCTGGATTGTTGGCATCACCACTCTTGAGAAATATGCAGAGATAGATTTATCCTATTTCATCTGAAGCATCTCGTACTGCATTATCAGAGTCTGCAACTTCACCTTCTTCAGTTTCTCATCTCCACAATACAAAGATTTCAGCTTTTCCCAAGCTCCTTTTGCTATTTCTTCTTGAATTATCTTCTCGAAAATGTCACAATCCACACACTGGTGAATCAAGAACAACGCCTTACCATCTTTCTTTCTCTGATCTTTGTGTGCAGCTTTCTGGGCTTCCGTAGCATCTACTTCCAGTTCTGATATTCCATCATTCAAGATTTCTACGACATCTTGAAATCTGAAAATAATCTTCATTTGCGCAACCCACCGTTGATAGTTTTCACCTTTGAAAACCGGTAGATTCGCTGGAAACTGTGTTGATGTTGTTGATCCGTTTTTCATTAGATTCTCTCTGAATCGCAAACAAGCTCTTGATACCAATTTGTTGGAACAAAGGGTTCAAGAAAGATGATTTTGTGAAAACAAGAAGAAGAAGAAGAGAAGAGAGAGAAATTTATGAGTTAGTTAAGTGTAACTAACTATCTAACTGAATATATTATTGCTGCAGCTATTGCTCTCTATGATTACAAACATAATGACCCTTTATATAGGCAAAATGCCCAGACCCAAATACATGCTAAAAACCCAAATAACTACATAACAAAAATTAATCAACTAATAAAAAATTCTATTAAATTTCTTTTTTCGAAAATAAAAAAAAAACTAATATTATTTATTTTTTACTTTAAAAAGTGTACTTGAAAAAAAAATTCAAATTAAAAACTCATAACATATAAGAGAGAATGGTTTAAATTAAAACTAATTCCAATTGAATAATTTTGTGTCATAACAAGTTACAATCCCTAATCCTATGACCTATTCAAACCTCTAATATCTCCATCTCAATTTCAAAGAAAAAAAACATAAGAAAGTTGCAAGTTGCAAACACAATTAAAAGTTAAAAAATATTAAGAATCTAAATAAACAGGTTGAACAGAACTTCTAGATCTACTTCCATATCCAAATAAAAAAAATGATTTCTTCACTCTTCCACTTCCACCACCACCACCACCACCACAACCACCACTTCCACCACCACTGCATCCTTCAATGGAGTTGTTAACTTCATTGACACCCCTCTTTTGTTGATGCAGAGCTTCTTGAACTGCAAGATAAAACTGTCTATCTCCTGATGAATCCATTGAGAAAGATCTTCTAATTGGTTGAACTGAAAATTGTTCATCTTTTGTTGCTCTAATATCAATACATTCATCTCCCATACTTGTCAATTTATGCAACTTTTTTCGACTTTTTCTCGGCGAAGGACTAATAGAATTTGCTCTTGGTAATGGCAATGGTAATGGTAACTCTATTGCATCATTGTTACTCAATTCAATGACAACAAAACCTTCATCATTATGTGAATTTTGATCTTGAGATGAAACTGAATAAGGATTTTGTTGTGTGAGCATTTGATCAAAATGGTATCCTTTTGTCAAAGAAATGCTTGTTCTACAAAGTGGACAATTAGCATTGTTTTGTAACCAAACGTCAATGCAATCAATATGAAAAACATGGTTACAATTCGGTATAATCCTAAGCTTCTCATCTTGTTGAAAATCATTCAAACAAACAGCACATTCAGAAGACTCTCTATTTTCATCTTCTGTTTTGAAATGAATCACCGGGATTAACCTAATCACGGCCTCGTCTAGGCCGCGAGGCTCTAACCCCGGTGAGTATATTGTGGTCGGATCTTGTCGTCTTCGAGACGGTGAGAATCGACGGAGAAGATCGATACGGTGCCAACTGAGACAACATTTGATTACAAAGATGTAGTAGGAAACAAGCAAGAAAGCTGTTGCTAAGATTCCAATTATCGCAATAGCGATAATTGGAAAACTTGTGCTAGAATGATGAAAAATTGAACTTGAAGTACTTGGTATTGGAGAAATAGCTTGTGATTGTGATTCTGACCCATGTTGTGAAAAGTGGATCAAGAATCTTCTACTTACAAGATCCATAAGAGAATAAAAACTATAGAAAATGCAAATAAATGAGTTATCTCAGATCCTGAAAACACATAAACATAGAAATACTAAGAAGAAGAAATATAAAAAATGAGAGTTTATAGTATGTGTATTATTTTGGATAGGCTATGATTTTCATAAGATGGAGCGAGGAAGAACTAGTTTTGAAGCAATGAAGAAATAATTGAAAATGATTATATAGAGAATGGAGAAAAAGAGAGGAAACCTAGGTGGTGTATAAATGAGGATGGTGATGGGGAAGGAGACAGAACATTAAAAATGTAGTGAAAACTGTTGTTATTTATTAAGGTTGGAGTACTACGTAGTAGTTGGTGAGTTTTCTGAAATTTCTGGCTAGAAATTTGTTCCACAAAGAGTGTCTAGATCAATGATGAATATTTTATAGGAGTATTTTATACATGATTACATGTACGTATCATCATACTATTTAATTATTGGAGACTTTATAGAATCAATTGTGGTCCATTAAGAATAATAATAATAATAATAGTGGATCAAGGCATCACTTAGTACTTACCTATCTGACAGATAATATTACAATTATTTTTCTAATTTATGAGCTCTTTATATAAATACATTGGTATACTTAAATTATATAAAATCGTAACATTTTTTTTGGATTAATTAAAAGTTTTGTGAATTTGAATTCAGTTCTAAATCCGCAATAATATTAATGTTAAGTTTTAGTGATAGTTAGTGATAGGACACAGTTCTAGTGATAGTTGTTTTGCAATCATTCCATTTCAACTAGTTAAAAAAAATTCAAAAATCTTTATTAACCCATGTTTATCCATTGGTAATAATGTGGTGAAATGAAAGTTACTAATCATTAGTAAAAACAGAGAACACACAGCACTTGAACAATGTTAATGAATAATTGATGTATAATTCGAACAATGTTAAGTGTGGTTAGGAGGAAAATGGGTCCATGTAGAAGAAATTTGAGGCTTAGGCAGCGCCTATCTTATTTGAAAAGCAATTATACATTAAATTGCAGTGGGTCCATAATTCCTCATCTAGTGCAGTGCCTTGTAGGAAAGTCAAGTCCGTGTGCAGTGCTATCTTTCTATGCAATTCAGAACCGACATAAATGCACTTGTATTTTTGGCTTCTTGAAGACACATCCACTTAGGTGAGAAAAATAGACAAACACTAACCCTTTGCTTTTTTGGGTTTTATAAAGTGTTTCACACATTGGTCAAAGGTTGAAGGCTTGTTGCGTCTGCAGGAAGAAACTTCAAACTTGATAGGTAACTTTTTCGACAATTTTTCAACAAAAGTTCACTTTTTTTTCTGTTTTAGTATCTTTGCATTTATTGTTTATTCAATTTCAATTTTAAACAATTTGGCTGAGTGATAAACAAACTCTGGCTGAGCAATAAAAATTCGGAAACGAACTATAAATTATTAAGGTCTCGTGTCTCCGAAAATCAGAGTACACAAAGAAATACACAAAGAAATAAATAAAATTTTCAAATTACGTAAAACAATGTCGGCACATACTAAATGATTAAGTTGAAAATTGGATGATTAGTTGATTTTGTTTAGAAAATAACATAATTCTATTAGAGGGTAATTTAGTATTTTGTTAGTTAAAGATAAGTTTATAATTAGGGCCTATGTGGCATTATTATTTGTGTATAAATAGGTGTATTAGGATTACATTTATATCAATCAATTCCAATCATTTGCCGTCAGCTTTTATGCATTTATTCCCTTCCATCTTCTTCCTCAAATTCATCACCTTGCACTAACAAATTGGTATCTAGAGCTCTTGGTTTGATTCTGAAACTCTGGGAAACACGAGTGATAGTGAGCTGTGTGTTTGATTTTTGATTCTTGAACAAAAATCTGAAACAGAATCACACTGATTCTGTGGGTTTGGGAAACACTGAGTGAGATCTGAGTTTTTCTGTGCAAAGGTTTAAGATGAATGGAGGCAGTAGTTTGAACACTAAACTTCCAGTTTTTGATGGCAAAAACTGGAACAGATGGAAGATTCAAATGCGTGTGCTGTTTGGTGCTCAGGATGTTCTGGACCTTGTTTCTGAAGGTTATGTTCCAGCTGCAGCTGATGCTACTGTAGAACAGAAATCAGAAGAAAAAGCTACAAGGAAGAGGGATCAGAAAGCACTGTTTTTCATCCATCAGTGTGTTGATGAAAATGTGTTTGAGAAGATTGTTGATTCGACGACGTCGAAAGGGGCATGGGATATTCTGACCAGATGTTATGGTGGTGACGTATCAGTAAAGAAGGTAAAGCTTCAGTCCCTGCGAAAACAATATGAAAATCTCAGCATGAAGAACAGTGAGAAAGTTTCTGAATACATTTCCAGATTGATTCTGATCACTAATGAAATGAAGGCTTGTGGAGAAACACTTTCTGAACAGGTAATTATAGAAAAGATTCTGAGGTCACTTACGCCTCAGTTTGATTATATTGTTGTTTCTATTGAACACTCTAAAGATCTGGAAACCATGAGAATAGAAGAGTTGCAAAGCAGTCTAGAAGCACAAGAGTTGCGTCTGACTGAAAGAACTTCTGAGAGGGAAGTGGAGCAAGCTCTGAAAGCTTCTTTTGTCAAGAAGGACCAGAAGCAGAATAGACATGGTGATAAATTCCAGAAGTCAGAAACCTCAACTTCTGATGAAAAGAAATATCAGAAGGGAAAGGAAAGGTATGACAAGAAGAAGGTTCAATGTTACTGCTGTAAACAGTTTGGGCATTTTGCCAGAGACTGTAGAAACAAAGGAAGGAAATCAGAAGAAGCAAATATAGCCAGAGAAGATTCTGATGATGAACCTGTGCTACTGATGGCTTCTGATTCTGATGGAAACTGTTCAGGAGATTGGTGGTATATGGACACTGGCTGTTCAAATCACTTGACTGGGAACAAACAATGGCTGACAGACTTTGACTCCAGAAGGAGAACAAAGATCAGATGTGCTGATGATAAGTACCTTAATGCAGAAGGTATGGGAAATGTCAGAGTCAGAGTGAAGAATGGAAGAAACATTCTGATCAAAGATGTCTGGTACGTTCCTGGAATTAAAAGCAATCTGATGAGTGTGGGTCAGCTTGTTGAGAAAGGTTTTTCAGTGGTTATGAAGGACAACCTCTTGACGTTGTACGATTCTAATCAGAAAATGATTATGAAGTCTGAGCAGGGAAGCAACAGAACATTCAAAGTGAATGTAGAAACCTCTGAAGCGGAGTGTCTCAGTGCAGAAGGCGCTGAAGCAGACAGTAAGTTGTGGCACAAGAGGTTGGGGCACTTGAACTATAGAAGCTTAGGGCATCTAAGTTCTAAGAAGCTCGTACATGGCATTTCGAAGATTGTGAAGCCTCAGAAGTCATGTGAGATATGCATGAAAGGCAAGCAACCAAGATTGCCATTTGCGTCAGAAGTAGCCCCCAGAGCAAAGCATGCTCTGGGTGTAGTACATTCTGATGTGTGTGGACCATTTCCAGTAGCTTCACTTGGAGGAAACAAATATTTCGTGTCTTTTGTGGATGAGTTCACAAGAATGACTTGGGTAAAACTCATAAAGTTCAAGCATGAAGTGTTTACAGAATTCCAGAAGTTCAAGGTGAAGGATGAGAAGCAGAATGGTCAGAAGCTGAAGATTCTGAGAACAGATGGTGGAGGTGAGTATAACTCTACAGAGTTCCAGAAGTTCTGTGAGGAGAATGGAATAGAACATGAGGTTACTGCTCCATATACTCCTCAGCACAACGGTCTCGCTGAAAGAAGAAACAGAACTTTGCTTGATATGACCAGAAGTATGCTGAAAGAGAAGAAGTTACCTCACATGTTATGGGGAGAAGCTGTTGCCACATCAGCATATGTTCTGAACAGGTGTCCAAAAAAGAAGCTGAAGGAAACTATTCCTTTAGAAAAATGGACTGGAGACAAGCAGAGTGTTAGCCATCTGAAAGTATTTGGTTCTGTGTGCTACAAACACATTCCAGAGGCTAGAAGACGAAAACTGGATGATAGAAGCAAAACAATGTTACTGGTGGGGTACCACAGTACAGGTGCCTACAAGCTTTATTGTCCAGAAACCAACAAAGTTGAAATCAGCAGAGACGTCGTTGTGAAAGAGTCAGAAACATGGGATTGGAACAAGCTTCAATCAGATTCTGGTGTAGTGCTAACACCAGGGTTAGTTTCTGAAGATGAGTCAGAGTCAGAGTCAGAAGACTCTGAAGATGAGTCAGAATCTCAGGGAGATTCTGATAGTGGATCTGATTCTGATCCAGATTCTGATGATGATCCAGAATCTGGTGGTGATTTTACTTCTGGGAGAGAAAACTCTGAAGACATAGGGTCTGGAGAACAAATTTCCAGAAGTAACTCTGAAGGTGGTAATTCTGAAGGAAGTAGTTCTGGACAAGGTTCAGAAGCCAGTATTGTTCCGAATTCTGGAGAACCTTCAGAACAAGACCAGAGGCCACAGAGAATCAGACGAATACCAAGTAAGTTTGCAGATTTTAGCATGTTGCATGATACTGAAGTAGATTCTGAAGGTGAAATCGTTCAGTGTGCCATGCTAGTAGATTCTGAACTAGTGGGTATTGAAGAAGCACTCAAGAAGAAAGTATGGCTGAATGCCATGAAAGAAGAACTTGAGGCAATTGAAAGAAACAAGACTTGGAAGCTGACAGAACTTCCAAAAGACAAGAAAGCCATCAGCGTCAGATGGGTTTTTAAGCAGAAGCTAAAGCCAGATGGATCAATTGGCAAACATAAAGCGAGACTAGTGGCCAGAGGTTTTCTTCAGAAACCTGGACTAGATTTTTTTGAGGTGTTTGCACCTGTAGCTAGACACGAAACAATCAGACTAGTGATTGCCTTAGCTGCAAACATAAATTGGCCTTTGATATATCTGGATGTGAAGTCTGCATTTCTGAACGGTCCATTACAGGAAGAAGTTTATGTGTCACAACCTCCTGGATTTGTGAAAAAGAA